ATCACTTTCCTCTTTGGCCCCATAATCTCCTTGATCAGAAAATTTGGGACACTACCGAGGTACATGACGTTACAGTACAAGTTCTCATTTGTCCTGAGTCTTAATTGACCTTAGAAGGCTAAGGCCACTATGTTAGATTTCCTTGCGGCCCTCCTTTTTCTCTAATTTGTGGTCCGCAAACTTAGGTTGCTAACCTCCAGGAGAGAAGCTTATTGTTATTACCATACAACCTAGGCTGTGAAGCTTAACCTCACTATCTGTCTGAATATCAAACATCTTGGGCATAATATGGAACAGGTATTTTTCATCGAGTATTGATATGTTGAACTTTAAGTCCCTATAGAATATAATGAAAAAACATTTAAAAATTAGAATATATTTTAAAAATAGACATAAGGAATTATATAATTCTTATGTTTACAAATAAGTCCAAAAATCTAACCATATACAACCTTGAAGCAGGAGAGTAACACAACATTCCTTTTCCTGTCTCCTGCCTTCATTCACCACCCCCTTCTTTTTGAACAATCATCTACCTGAGAGATAGCACAGCAGCAACTGGCATGTCATGACAAGCAGCCCATATTCAGATGACCAGAATGACAGGCACTCCAAGCATGAACCTACTATTGCGAATTGCCATCTTCAGTGCAGTTGCTTAGTTCACAGGTGTCAGTACATATAGTTAGTCAGGGTAAGAATCTTTCCAATTAACTGCTAGATTCAAAAATCTTTTAAAAAAATGTGAGCACATGCATCAAAAATCTTCTGGATATTCTCAGGATCATTGCCTTGCCCATCATCTACATATAACTGTATGGCTTGTCACTCTCATGTTTCCTAGCTCTTCTCTTTTCCTCTTTCAATTAGTTAGTCCTCAAGTCCTTGCTTTCCTTTTACTTGTATTATACTTTTCTATTTGTATTTCTTCTTTTGAGTGCTTATACTAGGGAAATTATATGATATTTACACATGTGTGTCTGGTTTATTTCACTTATGAGTATATCTTCAAGTGGCATCCACTTCAATATAAAGGCTTCGAGTTTACCATTCTTTATAGTTGAGTAATACTCCATTGTATAAAAATACCACATCTTTTTCATCCATTCCTCAGGTGGTGGGTATCTTGGTTGTTTCCAATATTTGGCTCTCACAAATTGTGCTGCTATAAACATAGGCACACATATATCACTATGATATGATGTTTTCAGATCCTCCGGGAAAATTTCCAGCAGAGGAATAGCTGGTTTAAATGGGATTTCCAGTCCAAGTTTTCTAAGGAGTCTCCACATTGATTTCCATAATGGTTGCACCAGTCTACATTCCCAAAAGCAGTGGAGAAGGGCACCAGTCTACATTCCCACCCGCACTGGAGAAGGGTTCCTTTTTCCCCACAGCCTCTCCAGCATTTGTTGTTGGGTGATTTCTTTATGATAGCCATTCTTTCTGGGGTAAGATGAGTTCTCAATGTTGTTTTAATTTGCATTTTGCAGATGGCTAGTGATGTGCAGCTTTTTTTCATATGTTTATTGGCGTCTTTAATTTCATCCTCTGAGAAGTGTGTGTTCATCTCAGATGCCCATTTCTGGACTGGGTCTTTAAATTTTGTGGCCCTAGTGCTTTTTAGTTCTTTATAAATTCTAGAGAGAAGACCTTTGTCTGAGTACTTATTTGTCATGATTTTTTCCAAATGTGTGGGTTGTCTTTTCACTTTGTTGGTAATTTCTTTTGATGAGAAAAAACTTCTCAGTAAGAGCAGGTCCCAATTGTTAATTCTTTCAACTGTTTCCTGTGCGATTTGATTGCTGTTCATGAACTCTTTGCCTACCCCTATGTCTTCAAGAGTTCCTCCTACTTTCTCATCCAGGAGATTTAGTGTCTGTTTTAATGTTTAGATCTTTAATCCACTTTGACCTTAGCTTACTGCATGGTGATAGACGTGGGTCAAGTTTTAGTTTTCAGCATGTAGAGAGCCAGTTTTTCCAGCACCATTTGTTAAAGAGACTATCTTTCTTCCATTGAGTATGTTTGGCCCCTTTGTCAAAGATAAGGTGGCTGAGTGTGTT